TTGCACTTGCCAGGCAAGTGCTTATTCTACTGAGCCATCTCCCTGGCCCTTGTTGGGTTTTTTTGGAAAAAAAAAAAAGAAAGAAAAAGGAAAAAACTCAGGGGATTGAACTCAGGCCCTTGCCCTTGCCAGGGAAGCGCTTATTCCACTGAGCCAACTCTTCCTCAGTCCTGTGTTTTTTGTTTTCTTTGAGACAGGGTCTGGCTATGTAGTTTCAGGCTGGCCTTGAACTCCCTTAGTAGCCCAGGCTGGCTTATGAACTCCTGGTGATCCTCCTGCCTCAGCCTCTAGAGTGCTGGTATTACAAGCATGCACCACCATGCCCAGCATGGGGTTTTGAGGCTGTGTCTCTCCCCAGTTCCCAGGACAAAGGTTTGGGCTGGGACCTGGCAGATCCTGCTTATCTCATCATAAATATTTATCAGGCTCCAGGGACCAGAGCTTGCAGCTGGCTGTGGAGGGGGTGGAGTGGGGTGGGGCAGATGCTGCTGAAGGATCTTAGAGGCCTTCTCTAATGAGGGTGTTGGGCTGGGAGAGTGCCACCTGGGCCTTGGGAGCCCTGGGGAAGGAGAGGACAGATGGACAGCGGGACAGAGTCAGGGTATGCAGGAAGATGCTACAGTCTCCTTACTGGACTGCTCTGTTCCCCAGAGCATCTCTTGGACTATACCCACACTGCCCCAGGGATCCTCACACAGTCCCAGAGTCCTAAGAGATGGCTGACTGCCCATACCCTACCTGCTCTCCTTGCCCTGCGCCCAAAGCTGTGCTCCAGTGAGCCCTGTGTCTGCAGAGTGTGCCCCCACCAGCTGTGCCCATGCAGACCTCTCCGCTCTCTCCAACTCTAACGGCTCTACCCCCTTCCCATTCTCCTTAAACTCTCATCTTCCCAGGGCCATGACCATGCTCCCCCATATTCAGGGCCCCCTCTGCCCACCATGAGTCTCTTTCCTCACTGACCACAGATACTGCACACCTCTCTGTGAGCCAGCAGGCTGGCCACCCCAGGGTCCCACCAGTGCGTCAGCTAGCTCTGCCATGCCACACTGCACCCTGTGCCGCCTCATTGGCATGCTGGTGGGGCCCACAGGTGGGATCAAAGCTCTGTCAGAGTGGAGCTGTACAGCAGGGATCTGGGAGCCTTTGTCTCTCCCAGGTCTGGGGAAGTAGGGGGACTAGGAACAGAGAAAGGGCACATTTTAGGGCCCAGAGCTGCCTCCTCACCCTCACAGGCAAGCACGGCTGCAGATAAGGGGACAGCCTGAGCCAAAGGACACCCCAGCAGATAATGAGGGGTGGAAGAAGGATGGCCTGAGGCACAGCCTGGGGGAGGCTGCCTCCTAAAGCCCAGA